AAGCGCGGTTAATCTCTTGCGGCGATTTCGAGCTGGCTAAAGATGCGAAGCGGGCTCCAGCTCTCAACTCCTCGGGGTGACGGGCGTCGATTTAGGTTGCGGGTTACTCAGGTGGAGGGCTCGGAGCCCCGGCTGCGCTGCGAAACCTCCCGCTCCCAACAGACGGCTCCTTCCCTATGGAAATAATGGAAGTAAAACCCTAAAGCCCCCCCTCTGATGCAACCCCCAAATTCCCGCTGGAGAACTAGGCTAAAATGAATTACGTTCTATATAAAAGTACTAACGGGGCGGGTTGGAGAAATGGGAGTTTTAAGCCAGCACTCCCCTCCAGGAGATCAAGTGCATCCACTTACCATAACAATGGAGCGCAATGTCCACAGGACACGCGTGCGCCACGAACAGCATTTATCATATTATTCATATGGCATGAACATACCAGACACTTCACAAAAACACGCTGCAAGAAGAGTCCTAATTCAAAAGGTTCATTATCCAAAAAGCACTAAAGGAAGAACATAGGTGGTAGGGGGAAGAAAAAAAAAAAAAAAAAAAAAAAGACTTGAGTAAGGTGAAGCAGTCAGAGCTGAGCCCCCTGGGCCCTTCCCATGCTCTGCTAAGAACACTGAGGGGTGAAAAAATAAATCATTATTCCACGGGTAACAATTATTTTACCTCTAATTGTAATGAAATTTGCCTCTAGGTGTAATAAAAGCCACATAAAAAGGCAAACCCCCTGATTTCCTTCTTTTTCTGCAGGCCCCGAGGAGCTACCAGTGACTAATTAATGCTCCAAGACAGCGGCTATGGCCGAGGGGAGCGCAGTCGCTGATCAGGAACGACTCCTGAGGAGGGTGCAGGAGCTGGAAGAGGAGGTGAAGCAGCTGCAGGAGAAGCTCCGAGAGGACAAGGAGGACGCTGGGAGAAGAGAGGCTTCTTCGGCCCCCGGGAAAGCCAAGAAACGCCAGCAAAGACCATTTGATTTTGGCGCCTATGGCCGCAGGCACGTGGCGCTGAAGATCGCCTACCTGGGCTGGGGCTACCAGGGGTTTGCCAGCCAGGAGAACACCAGCAACACCATCGAGGAGAAACTGTTTGAGGCCTTGAAGAAGACGCGGCTGGTAGACGACAGACAGACCTCCAACTACCACCGCTGCGGACGGACGGACAAAGGAGTCAGTGCCTTTGGACAGGTCAGGATCCCCACGCCCCAGGCTTTCCCGGATTTCTGGGCTCCTGTGTGGGATGGAGATCCACTGGGATTAGTGTCCCACAGTGACGAGCCCAGACAGCAGAGGTTGGATTTGGTTTTTAAAAGCTTTTAAACCTGAAAGCGAGCCGGCCGATGGCACGTGGAACGATGACTTCAGACCCTCAAAGTATTTATTAGTGCTACTTTTTTCCATACTAGTGCTAGGTTTTTTTCCAGGGGCCTGTTTTGAGAGGATGAAATGCATTTTAGACTGCAGCTTCCCCAACAGCTCAGCGCTGCCAAAAAAAGTGCCCCTTCCTCCGCAGATGCACTTGTTGCTCTTCCTGCGCCGACTGCAGCGCTTGGCAGAGCCCTCTCAGCTGATTTCAGTTGCATACCCCCTCCCAAAAAAATAAAAATCCAAGAACTGGATAGCTTCCTGCGGAGTCAGGCAGCTGAATTCCTGCGCAGAAGGGTCTGGGGGGAGCCGCAGCTAGCGGAAGGGAGCGTGGGAGTGGGAGCCGGAGGGAGGGGAACGAGCCGGCCCGCTCGGTGGGCACGGAGCCATCAGGCTGGCTGAGCCACCGGGGAAAGCGCAGCCTGTCCTGTGCCGCCACGGCTCCGCTCTCGGGCCAGACTCCTTCCCTCCCGGCTCTGGAAGCGGAGCTGGCTTAGTCCTTGCCTCACCAGGGTGGTTTTGGCTCGGGTGGGCAGCCTGCTCTCCTTCACAAGATGAGCTGCACGAAATAAGGGCAGGGGCCGCCTTTTCTTGAGCCCTTTAAAGTGCACAGGCACTTGCAGCGTTAATTAACTTGCTCCCACACCAGGTTTCCCAGACTGTTGGCTGGGTTCAAGTCATCACCTCCAGCACAAAAAAAAAAAAAAAAAAAAGCACATTATACCCTAAAACCAGTGACTAAGTTGAAGCTGTTTCAAGACCAGGCTATGTAGGCAGCCTGCAACTTTCTCTGTTTTATTAAAGGAATCCATAGCATCTGCTAGGAACCTCAGCAGAGGCACTTGCAGCTCTACCCACAGGAAGGAGTGGTAGGAGCGCCTGATTCAAGACACCTTCATCTGTAGGAGATCCTGAATTTATTTCACAGCGGTGTAGGAAGACTTGGCTTGGCAGGCCGAATACGCCCATCTGCGATCTAATCCTGACTAATCCTGGCTTTCCTCATTTTGCAGGTGATTTCCCTAGATCTCCGCTCAAACCTGTCGGAGGGGAAGAAGCTGAATGGCCACGAGGGTGACTCGGAAGGCAGAAGCGAGGGGGAGGAGGAGCTCCGCTACACCCACATTCTCAACAGGGTGCTCCCGCCTGACATTCGGGTGCTGGCCTGGGCCCCCGTGGAGCCCGAATTCAGCGCCCGGTTCAGCTGCCTCAAGAGGACCTACCGCTACTTCTTCCCCTGCGCCGACCTGGACGTGGCCCTCATGCACGCCGCAGCCCAGAGGTACGTGGGGACCCACGATTTCCGTAACCTGTGTAAAATGGACGTCGCCAACGGGGTGGTCAACTTCCAGAGAACGATCCTCAGCGCCGGAGTGACGTGGGTGGAGAGAGAAGGAGAAACCGGGCTGCAGGATCCCTTCCACCTGTGCCAGTTTGAAGTGACAGGGCAGGCGTTCCTGTATCACCAAGTCCGCTGCATGATGGCGATCCTCTTCCTCATCGGCCAGGGGATGGAGAGCCCCGAGATCATCGACGAGCTGCTGGATGTGGAGAAGAACCCCCGAAAACCGCAGTACAGGTACAGAGCGCTTGGGAAAGCCTCCCGGGCTGTTTCTTGAAGCAACGCTGCACACAAAGTGCCACTGGCAAGCCGCTTCTCTGCCAGCCAGCAAAACAGTCTCTCACAATGTGGAAGCTGCCAGCGGCCTCGCTGGGAGGGATCCGTAAGGATCCTGTTCTTCTTGCTCTCGGACGAGCTTTCAATGGCTTTCGTCCTTGGTATTCGGTTAAAATGAATTCAGTTTTTATTGGAAAGAGGAGTTCTGTAAAAAACAGGGCTGTTTTCAACAGAAAGGACAGGCCAACAGGCTGCTGCAGGAGCCTTTTTTGTCACAGCAGCCCTCCGGGCAGGTAACGCCGCCTCTCCTTTTCCCCTAGCATGGCAGTTGAGTTTCCCCTCGTCCTGTACGACTGCGAATTCGAAAACCTTCAGTGGCTCTACGACCGAGAAGTGCAGGAGTTCAACGTTACCCACCTACAGCAGCTCTGGGCCAACCACGCGGTCAAAACTCAAGTGCTACATAACATGTTGCAAGGGTTAGACGCTGCTCCCGTGGCTGCTGGAAAAAGTAAGGGATGGTTTTGTGGCAGTGCCTTGGGATGGGGGTAACTGGTTTAAAAAAAGAACATGAAGGAAAGGGGTAATTAAATAGATTGTTCAAACTCCTGGTTTTTTTTTTTTTTTTCTCCAACTGTATCACAGGCCCAGGGAACAGCACGACCGTCCTCTGGGGAGATAGGAAGCCTCCGCTCTGCAGCCAGGTCAGCGGCTTCGTGGAAGGCATCAAAGCCCGCACCTACAAGCCCTTGCTGGCCCGCCCCAAGGGCGCGGGGCTGGG